ATCTACCTTCCTCTACCTTCTACCTTTGAGTGCTTTTCTGGCCCTCTAGGGCCAAGCAGTATGAGTCTAATCATCTTCTACGTGACAGCCTTCAAAATACAGGGTCCTCAACAAAGCTTTATTAAGTACCTATTAAAGAACTGGAGGTAAGCAGGTAGATTGAGGACAGACATTTCTCTCAAGAAACCTAAATCAAATGAGAAGAAAGAGAAGTACAAAAAATGGTACTCAGGAGAGAGACAAAGAGACAGAGAGAGAAAAGAGAAGAGAAAGTTGAGAAGAGAGACCACTTGGCCCTTGAGGGAGGGAGGGTGTGAGAAAAAGGGTAGATCAACAAATACTTCATAGAGGAGATGGTACCTGTGTTGAAACAGTTAAAATTCTGATATGGCTGGAACATAGACTGTATGAAGGGAATGATGTGAGGCAGGGTAGAGCCAGTTGTATATGTAAAGACAATAGGGAGCCACTGAAGATTTTTGAATAAGGGAATAATACGGTGAAAGCTGGGCTTTAAGAAGATTATTAGGCAGCTCTTCTGGGGGTGGACTGGAGAGAGGAGAGATTCACAGGAGGGAAACCAATTAGGAGGTTGTTGTAAGAGTCCAGACCAGAGATCATAAAGGCCTGAACTAGAGGAGTAGCTATGTGCAAACGGAACATATGTGAGTGATATTGTGAGGATAGATCAGACAGCTAACTAGATATGGAGAGTGAAGAAGAGAGGAGAATCAGGAGTGACTTGGTGACTAGAGAATGGTAGCATCCTCAATAGAAATAGGGCAGTGAGGATAAGGAGGAAAAGGGAGGTAAGGAAATGGAGGTAACAAGCATAGAAGGGTCTTTCTAAGAATTTGACTGTGGAAAAGGAAAAGCAATCTATGCATAATGGGTGCCGATAAAGACAAAAGACAACTTTTTCGTCAGAAACTGGAGCAAAGGAGGCAAAAGTGGGCAATGCCAACGTGGGGTTTTGAAATGTAGAGTAGTGGAGAAGAGGGAACCCAGGGCAGATGACCTTGATTTCCTCAGTAAAGCAGAAGTCAAGGAGCTCTGCTGAGAGAGAATTGGGAAGTGGAGGATTTGAGAAGAGTTTGGGACCCCAATTGTGGGGAGTGAGGCAGAAAGTCAGTCAGGGAAGCCCAAAGGATTACCAAGCATCAGGGAGTGTCCAGGTGAGAGTATGTCGCATAAATTGTAGCATATTTAGTCAGCACAGTTGTTTGGTTTAGTGTGAACCTCTGTCAACAGCTATTCTCTCTCCCAGGGGTATTTGCTTTCTAAGCCGGATCTCTCAGTGCAGAATGGAAGGTATCCTACCTTAGTAATGAAATGGTAGGCTTTTACGTGTTTGTTGGTAGGTATTTGCAGAGGCAAGAAACTTTCTCATTAGACTATGAGTTCTTTGGGAGCAAGGACTAATTTTTGCCTTTATTTGTATCCCCAGCACTTAGCATAGTACCTAGCACATAGTAGGTGCTTAATAAATGCTTGTTTCCTGACTTACTTTCTGGTTACTTTAAAATAGGAATTCTTAACCTTTTTCTGTGTCCTGAACCCCTTTGGAAGTCTAGTGAAGCTATGCACCCCTTCTCAGAATCACATTTTCAATGCATAAAGTAAAATGCATAGATTACAAAAGAAAACATTTATATTGAAATAGTTACCAAAAAAATATTTTAAAAAAACAAGTTTACAGACCTCAGGCTCAGAAGCCCTGTGGATCTAAGAGGCTGGGTGGCAGAGTGACCAGGAGGTATGGCCTTGACACAGAAAACGTAGATGCAGATCTGGGTTTGAACACTTAACAGCTGAGTGAACATGGGCAAGTCACTAAATGTCCCTGTGCCTCTGTTTCCTCATCAGTAAAATGAGACCAATGATACTTCTATCTACCCCCAACAGACTGTTGTTTAGAAGATACTTTTGCAAACCTTAGAACAGGATATACATGCAAGCTGTTGCTATTATTTTCACCCATAGTCTCCAGGACTCGGCCTGCTTCTTTCCTTTTAAATGACTTTTTCATATCCCCTGTATGTGCTGCTGGCCTTTCATTCCCTCTGCCCTTATCTGGGCCCTTCTGAGGCTGCCAGTAGAATGATCCCTCTGCTCTATTGTCTGAGCTGCTAACCTGCTGCTGTAAATCCCAGGCCTTATCTTGCCCAGGAATTTATTGCTTTCCTGGGGACTGTGAGCTGCTGAGAGGATGGGAACTATAAGGGAGCAACTAGGAAAGGCCTGAAGGCCCTGGCTTGGAGAAGGGGGGGGAATGGTGTAGAGTGGGGAACATTCTGTGATGAGAGGTAAGGTTGTCACACCTAGGCCAGTGTGAGGAAGGGTTGGTCTGTGATCAGGGTCAGACTTATCCATAAGTTTGTGGCCCATCATAAGGTTAGGATCTGCAGCCTGGGCCAGGGGGAAGTCTGGGGCCAAGATTATGGCTATAGTGAGTGACCAGAGACATGCCGGCAAGGGGATGGGGGAGGGGAGAAGGGATGGATTATTTAAGGTAAGAGTTCTTAATGATGTGCCATAGACCCTTTTGGCAGTATGGTAAAGCCTATGTATACCCTCTCTGAATATTTTTAAATGCACGAAATAAAACACACAAAGTTATAAAGGAATCTAAAAGTTAGTAAAAGTATAGCAGTTTGTTTGTTTTTTTCATTCCCCAAAGTGTTCATGGATTCCCTCCCTCTGAAATCTATGGACTCTGTGGACCCTGGGTTAAGAACCTCTGATCTAGGGAGATCAATAACTTCAGTACTCTGGGCTTTTTCTGAAGGTGTGCTTCCAAGGAACTCCCCAAAGGCAGGAAATTGAAAGCATGAATCTTGCCTCCAGGCAGGAGCCCCTAATGACATGAGGAAAGAATTTAGAGCTAGAAGAGACTTAGAGGTCATCCAGTCCAATGTCCTTATTTTACAAGTGAGGAAACTGAGGCCCAGAAAAGGAAAGGGATTTTCTGAGTGTCACATGATAAGGAGGAGGCACATTTGAACCTGGATCCTCTGACTCTAAATCTGACACTCTTTCCATTAAACCACACTGCTCAAGGATCCATCTGTGGCCAGAGACTGGAGTCACAGGGCCTAGTTTCCGGCCCTCTGGCCTCTCTAGCTTTATCCCACATCATTCTCCTTCATGCAATCTCCATTCCAGTTCCCTATACAGGACATGCCACATTTATACTTTGCACAGCCAGATGCCCCAGGTCCAGAATGCATTCTCCCCACCCTCGCATCTGCCTCTTGGAAATACAGGCTGCCTTCAAAGGTACCTGCCACCTCCCTCCATGAGATCTTTTCCCCCACCTCCACCTCCCACAGCTCTCCCTCCCCCTCGATATAACTTTCTATTAATTGTATATCCTATGTACTTACTTATCCCCTCCTCTGGTAGAACGTAAGCGCCTTGAGGTCAGAGACTCTCATTTTTTGTCTTGATACTCCCAGTAGGTAGCACAGTGCCTGACATGTAGTAGGTGCTTAATAAATGGTTGAATTTCTTAAGACATGGATGGGGCTAAGAGTGCTGCCTGAGCCTGAGGTTAGCCTATGGCCATGGAATAAACTCTTTTTGGTGAAAAGGTAACCGGCCTTTGGAGAGACAAACCCATGACCTTGGCCTCATTAGGAGAGGCTCACCAGCTGAGCCAATCTGGCTTCTCCTCAATACCAAGATGGGATGGAGGCGGCGCCATTCCGAGGGACTTGTGGGCCTTGGCAAGACAACAGCAAGATAGTGCCATCACTTTCTGCTTCTCAGTGGCATGGCAACTGGGCACACACCTTCCCCTCCTGCTTCAGGGGTTAAAAGATGATGCAGGGCAGAGGGCGCTCATGGAATTTCACAGAGCACCAGATTGCTCGGGGCCCTGAACACAAAAAGAAGACAGAGAAGGAAGGGATCTCAGAGGTCATCTAGTCCAACCTCCTGCTTTTACAGATGGGGAAACTGAGGCCCAGAGAGGCTACAAGGCCTGTTTCTATAGTAGGCACTCGATAAATGCTTGTTGTTTGCTGGCCTAAGATCTGGGACTGAAATCCAGGCCAGGGCCCACTGCTAACAGGACAGAATAGCTTCCTCCATTTCTGCAGCTCTCTAAGGTCTATGAAGCACGTAACTCACAACCGCCCTGTGAGGTGCCAGCCAAGATTGTGGTGGGGAAACTGAGGTTTGGACAGACTGAGAGCCCACTGTGGAACGCAGGTCTCTTGACTCCAAATCCACGGCTGTCTCCGCCGTACCTCACTGTATAGAAGTGGGAACAGGCCAAGAACTGGGGTTTATTCAGTTTAGCCAAGATTTATTAAGCACTCCTCCCCGCCCCCCCATCCTCTGTGATGGAATTTCAGACACAAAAGTAAGACTAGCCCTGCTTTCAGGGGGCTTACCTACTAGAGGGAGGGCAGGGCTAGGAAATAACACTGGAGGCTTCGGGGTTCAAACCCTAGCTCTGCAATGACCTTGGACAAGTCTCTGGGCCTCAATTTCTTCATCTGTTAAAAGAGAGGATACATATGGCTAGTGATGTCAGAGGCAGGGCTTGAACCCAGGTCTTTCTGACTATGAGGCCATCTCTCTATCCACTATGCCACAATACCTGTCTAAAACTAAGTCCTGGAAAGACTGTGTTATATCCCACAGGAAAGAAGCAGCAGAGACAGGATTTGAACCCAGGTCCTCTGACTCCAGAGGCTAATGTTCCTTCTGTTGTATCAAACTGCCTTTAAAAAGTGCTTGTGAGGGGCAGCTAGGTGGCGCAGTGGATAGAGCACGAGCCCTGAAGTCGGGAGGACCTGCATTCAAATCCGACCTCAGACCAAAAATTGAACACTTGCTAGCTGTGTGACCCTGGGCAAGTCACTTAACCCCAACTGCCTTAAAAAAAAAGTGCTTGTGGATGGATCTTTCTGCAGAATGAGGGGACACATGGATGAAGGGATCTCACTTGTCCATAGGCTCAGGCCTTTCTCTCTTCCTTCTCTCTGCAGATTTGAAAAAAGCCCCTGAGCAGCTGGAAGAGCAAGGAGGGGTGATCTGGAGAATGACAGGTGGCCTCTTCAGTATCACCAAGGGCGCTGTGGGGGCCACTCTAGGAGGTGTCGCCTGGGTGGGGAGCAAGAGTCTGGCGTTCACCAAGACAGCTGTGACCACGGTGCCCACTGCCGGCATGGGGCTGGTGAAGGGCAGCGTGTCTGCCGTGAGCAATGGCGTGGGGGCGGTGGGCTCTGCCATGGCCGGGAAGGTCCCTTTCACCACCAGGAAGAAAGATAAGGCCGATTAACTTCAGGGCATGGCGAGATCCTCATCTGTCCCCAGGACTCCCTTTCTTCAGACAGATGGGCCCAGCCCTCATCTGGCCCATGCACTGCTCCCCAGGCCACAGCTAGAAGCAGTTTCCTCTGTTCCCCCTCTGCCTCCACCACTTAGGCCTGCTAGGCTCAGGTCAGATGTTGGCCACAGATTTTCATAGTGTCATCCCCAGCCCTGAAGCTCCATCTCTCAAGCTAGGCAGAGAAGATGGTTCCCAGGGCCTCTGAGGGTGGCCTTCAGGGAGATGTGGCAACCAAGGGGAATGGGGTCCTGAAACAGACCAGGGTCAGCTGGAAAAGCAACCCATAGAACCACAGCCGGCCAGAGCCCAGGGCTGCTTCTTCTGCCCACTTGGCTTAAACATCACTGTTCTTGCCCCCAGCCAAGGCCAAAGCTTCCTTCTCCTTCAGCATGGGTAGGACCAAGTTCTCTCCCAATTCTCCCTAGCACCCACTTGTGGCCTCTAGACCTAGAGGCCATAAAGTATAGACTCCTACAATTCCAGCACTGCACTGGGACCTTGGAGAGATGGGGAAACTGAGTCCTACTGACCCCTCAGGGTGACCTTTCATGGGACACAGGGAGCGGCAGCATCAAACATGGATGGGCTAGGGTCTGAACTGAGCCCAACGCCAGCTGGTCCAATGGGTGACCACATCTGAAAGACAACCCATAGAATGTCAGCTCCCTGAGGGCAGGGACTCCCTCATTTTTTGTCCTTCTGTCCCTAGTACCTGTCATACAGTAGGCACCTGGGAAATGATTTTTGAATGGAATGGATGGGATTAGTGGCAGAGCCGGGGCCAGAACCCAAGTGTCCTACCTCCCAGGCCAATGCCCCTCCTGCCACACTACAGCGGCTGCGCTCATCTTTGCCTGCTGCCCAACTTGGAGCCAAGCACGTTGCAGCAACCCCATAGTCTGCATGCCTACAGATTCCATGGTTTCTTTAATCACAAGGGTGGGGGGTTCTCCCTTACCCTTGAGTCCTGGAATGTGACAAAGGAACAGGGCCCAAGACCCGGCCCCCAGGTTCTCAGAAATGGCCATTCTTTGGGTGGTGGAATGGGGGGAGTGGGGGGAGAGGGGAAGGCTGACCTTTTCTGCCAGGTCAAGGCCAGTCACATTGAAGGTGGGAGTTCCTAGTCACTAGGGGGCAGTAGAAATGACTTCCCCATGGCTATCTTTATCTGGCCTCTTCTGGCTCGCCTTGGACCATGGGCAGGGCAAAGTTGGACAGTTCCAGAAGGGATTCAGGCATTTGTCTGGTGACCTATGGAGAGCTGGAGAGGAGGGAAGAAGAACAGCTGAGCTTCACATCTGAGCCATCCTAATTCTCCCCCCAGTGATGTCACACAGGAATATCACCCCTCAGGGTCATCCCCATAACCTGGGCAACATGAGATTCTCCCAGCCTCCTGCCCAGAGATGGTCCCACCGAGTCACACAGAATCCCAGAGCCGGAAAAACCTCAGATGTCAACCAGTCCTACCCATGTCTGAACAAAAACCCCTCCCCAACTTAGGCCTGTCTCTCCATCTTCTCACACATGAAGCTCTAATGCAAGAGTTTGAGCTCGCAGGAGAAAAGAGCTGCCCACCTATGGTAGGACCTAGCTCAGGTGAGAAGTCTTCTCTGGAGCTGGCCGTCAGCCCTCTTCTTGTCCCTTCAAGTTCTCCAGAGCACTCAGAGGAACACGTCAAAGGCCTGACCCCAAGGGGATCTGCTCTTCTCCTCCCTCAGCCCAGAAAAGGGGGGCAGTGTGGGGATTCTGGCAAGTATCCCATTGCCTTGTGTTGGGGTGGGGTGGGAAGCATCCATGTAATTTTAATGACAATAAAGTTTGAAAGTGAAGATCTTTGGGCTTGTGCTCTGTGATTCAAAGATGGCAGCCTGAACAAAGAGCAGCAATAGGCAGGAAGCGAAGTCCTTTCTCAATGAGCCCCAGTATCCAGGACTAGGCAACAGCTGAGAAAGCCACTATGTTAAGAACATCGGCTGCCCTGGCATCCAGAACAAGGGCAGCGATTGTCCTGGGGTGTTCTGCTGTGACCTGACCCCATTTAGAGCATTGTGTTCAGTCCTGAGTCCCACTGTTTAGGAAGGGCAGCCAAAATGATGGAGGGCCCTGAGATCAAGACTGTGGCACGTGAAGATCACTTGGGAGAACTGGAGACATTGAGTCTGCAGAAGAGAAGACGAGGGGGACGGACAGGGAGAGGACCCATTATTACTGTGTTGACATATTTGAAGGGTTGTTATATAGGAAAGGGGGCAGCTGGGTGGTACAATGGATAGAGCACCAGGCCTGGAATCAGGAAGACTCATCTTCCTGAGTTCAAATCCTTACTAGCTTACTAGCTGTGTGACCCTGGGCAAGTCACTTCTTTTTGCCTCAGTTTCCTCATCTGTAACATGAGCTGGAGAAGTAAATGGTCTCAGGGTGGGGGGTGGTAAGAGCCATCACTCCCTAGGAATCCTGGGTTTTTTCCACTCCTAAGGGAGCCCCACCCAGGCTAGTAATGTATGTCGCAATATTCCTGATTTGTTTGGAAGTCCTGTTACAACTTTTAAGTCCCTGGGAGAGGCAGAGAGCCAGGAGAGAGGGCAGAGGACATGTCTGGACTGTTTATAGATTGGGGTTTGAGTCCTTTGTGTTTCTGTTGAGGTAAAATCTGCCCTTTACTTGGTGTTTTGTTAGCCTGGGTGTTTGCTTTATAGTAAGGTCCCTTTAGACCCTGTCCAAATTCTGATATTCCCAGGAGAAACCAGGGGCAAGGCTGGAAGCTGGAAACCTCCAAGAAATCTTGGCTATATGAGCTCAGCCCTTGGATAATGGGCCCTGAGTTACATGCAAGACAGGGAGAAAATAACCTAGTTCAGCATCAGGGCATGAGGCTTAAAGGAAGAGAAGGGGGCCCTCCCAGAAATGGGGGCTTACAAATGAGCCAGCTGCCCCGTTAAGATCTTGAAGAAGGGAATCCCATCTAGCCTGCAGTCCAAAGACAATCCTTTCCTGAGTAGAATGCGTCCCATTCATGAGCTTCAAATCCTACAGTGACTTGGGAGGACAACCTCTCCCTCTCATACTTTGTCATGCGAGTTTATCTGCATCCCAGTGAAACCTGAAGCTCAGGAACTATTGTCCCCATTCTACAGGACAGAACACTGATCCACCGATACACGGTGACTTCCCCAAAGTCCATTATCCCTGACTATCCGCTGTTTCGTCCTCAAGGCTAACATTACAGGGCCAAAGAATGGGGTGAAATTGGGGGAACAGGAAGTAACCCAAGATCGGGCTTTGTGTGACAGCACTTCTTCGAAAAGGAAAGATTAGGACAGAAGGATTTAGACCAGGCAGAGATCTTAGATCTCATCTAATCTCCCCTTTCATCTTACACTGAGGCCCCTGAGGCCAGAAGAGGAAATTGGGAGACACCTTGGATGGATTTGGACTAGCTCTGTGACCCCAGACACATCACTTAACCTCCCAATGCCTCAGTTTCTTCATCTGTAAATAGAAGATAACAATACTTGTAATATTTACCTCTCTGGATTATTATGGGAATCAAATGGGATTATAATGATGTGCCCAGTTGAATTAATGATGGATGCAAGGTGCATTATAAACCTTCAAGTGCTATGTAAATCGTAACTGCTATTAGCATATTGTTATTATTATTGAGAGGCAGCATGGAATATTAAATAGAAAACTGACCTTGAAACCAGGAAGCTGGAGGAGCAAGTCTCCCTTTCGGCGTGCACTGGCTGTAGAAATCCGGGCGTGTTCTTTAACCTCCCATTGCTCTGAGGCCAGAAGCTGCAGAGAAGGTGTTCACCAGCCCTGGGAGAAGACGTTTCCTCACCTGAAAGTTCTCTACACCAATGAAATCTCTAACCCTATCCTATTGTTATTGTCATTAATTATCCCCAAAGGCTGGAAGAATAACAGAGAGGGGAGAGAGACACACAGAGACACAGACACAGAAAGAGAGACACAAAGACAGAGAGACAGTCACAGACACGGGGGGGGAGAGAGAGAGAGAGACACCGAGAGACAGAGACAAAGAGACGAAGACAGAGAGACAGACACAGAGAGAAGGGAGATAGACTGAGAGCCACAGAGAGAGAGAAGGAGGTAGGAGCCTACAAAAATTTGCAGGAAATCTATGCCAAAGAACAGAAGGCTCAGAGAGGGTAATTAACTTATCCAGGGTCACACAGTAAGTTGGTGGGACTGAGTTTTGAACCCACATCCTCTGACTCTCAATCCATTACTCTTTCCAGTAGGAGAGCTGATTGAAGAGAAATTAAGTGACACCCTAAGGGTCTTAGATATTGGAACTTTTGGTGATGATGCTGATGTTGTGGTGACAGGTAAGCAGGAGACCACTGATCTGCCTTTGAGTCCAACCCCCTTGTCTTAGAGATGAGGGAACTCAGACCAGAGAAGTGATGTGATTTGCCCAGGGACACACAGCTAGAAAGTGTCACAAGTCAGATTCAGACCCAAATCTTCCTAACTCCTGGCCCGTTATCCTATCTACATCATACCGCTGGATTATGATTCACTCATAAAACAGGGATGCTCTTTCTTGCACTCACAGAATTATTTTGAGGAAGGTATTTTGTAAGTCTCAACTCACCACAAGAGTATGAATCATACTGCACTGTAAGAAATAATGACTACGACGAATTCAGAGAAGCTTGCAAAGACTTACATGACCAGATGGAGGGTGAAGTAAGCACCCCCCAGGAAAACAATACATGCAATGATTATAGCAGTGCAAGCAACAGGTAAATGAAGCTGAATATGGTGAAACCATGGTGCCCAAATTTGCCTCTTAGGAAGAGCTGAGAAAAGCCCTTTCCTCCCTTCATTACAAAGATGGGTACAGGATATTACATATAAATGTCAGGCACTGTCAACATGGTGGTGGTCTTACAGAAAGGTCTTTTTTCTCTTTCTTTTTTAATCTTGGCTACAAGGGATGGGAAGGGAGGGGAATAAATTTGGAGATAAATGTGAAATAAGAACAAAAGACGTCATGCTGTGTGACTCTGGGCAAGTCACCTAACCCCAAATGCCTCACCAAAAAAAAAAAAAAGAAGAAGAACAAAAGACATTGATGACAAGTAAAATAAAATCTGCCATTGGAACCCTTCCTCCCATCTGGACAAAAGGCTGATCCTGGGGATGCCCTGGTCTCAGGTTGAGCTAAGATAATAACCCAAGTCTTGACCCTCCCCCCAAGAGGTCAACAAGGGTGCGCTCCCCCTAACCCAAGGTCCTCAAGCAGAAGCTGGGAGATCACTCAGATGTGGTGAAGAGTGTTGTTGGCCAGCAATAGATTGGACTATACTCCTGAGGTTCCTTTCAGCTCAGAAACTCTGTGATTCTGCGAATCTCCCATGGGACTCTTCTCCATTAGAAGAGATGCTCTGGAGCTTTGGGGGGGAGGATGTTTGTTGGAAGAGTTGGTCCACCAGGAGACTTCTGGTCTTCCACCTCAGTGATTCAAGGATATGAAGAAATTGAGCCTCCCAATGTGCAAAGATCTTAGCCCCCATCTGAGGTAGATTGCTAAAAATGAGAAGAAACCGATCCCCCCAAAAAAGGCTCCTGACACCACAGTCAATCCAAGTCTCAAGTACGTGGAGGAGAGAGGGTGTCAAGTCACTGTGAAAGGAGATGCTTTGACATAACAGTAATAAGCATTAGTGAAATCATTTATTTTAACCAACGAAGATACAGGCAAGTCACTTCCTCCATTTAAACAAGGGTGCTAAGCTCTTCCCCATCCCAGGTCTGGGGCATGAGATGATACTTATGTACATGTCAGCATTACCTAGTGTCCTTGTAGACTAGCTGGCTTGTACCCCTAAAATGCCCCCACATAAAGGGGCCTTACAGACCTTCTAGTCATAGGATCACAGATTCAAAGTGGTTAGAAACCTCAGAGGACATCTAGTCCAACCTCATCCTTTTTACAGATGAGGAAACTGAGGCCCAGAAAAGTTAACTGAGTTGCCTAAGGTCACACAAGTCATATGAGGCAGAGCCTGGATTGGAACCCAGGTCCCTGGTTCCCCCAGTGCCTTGGCTGGTGCCAGTGTCTAAATGGTCACTGTGATTAGCTTCAGATCTCAGCCACCCTATGAGGTCATTGCCCTCATCTCACAAAGAAGGAACTTGAGGTCTGGAAAAATGAGCACATAGCAAATTTCCCTTCATAAAATAGCCAGCGAATGTCCAAGCCAGAGAAAACTTTCTCCAGCATCCATGGCCAAGCCAGGGCCACAGTCATGTCAGCTTCTCTGAGAAGACTTCCTACCACCCCAAGGGACCTGAGTCACTCTCTCTTCACTGTTCCCCATATGTGTCGAGTCATCCGTCCCCACACTCAGAATGCCCTCCTTCCTCACCTTTGCCTCACAGAATCCCTGGCTTCCTTCAAAACACAGCCCAGGTGCCTGCTTATACACGACTTCTTGTTCCCTCACCCATGCCCCAAAGTTACTTTGTACTTACCTTTATAAATCTTGTTTCCCATCCCACCCCAGTAGAATGTAAGTTTTCTTGGTGTAGTGGATTGAGCACTGGACTTGGAATCAGGAAGACCTGGGTTCACATCCTACCTCTGATGTTTGTTACCTGTCTCACCTTGGTCAAGTCACTTCCCTTCCTTAGACCTCAGTTTCCGAGTTGTAAAGTGAGGTGGTTGGATTCAATAGCCTTCTAGTTCAGATCCTGTGATCCTTGAGGGAAATGCTTAGTTCTGCACGTTGAGCACAATGCCTAGCAGGGTTGGGGGGAGAGGTTAGAGGTTAGACCAGATGTCATTGGGTTTCATT